AGGTCAATATCCAAATAATGTTGCACGAAGGTCAATATCCAAATAATGTTGCACTAAGGTCAATATCCAAATAATGTTAAACTAAGGTCAATATCCAAATAATGTTGCACGAAGGTCAATATCCAAATAATGTTGCACTAAGGTCAATATCCAAATAATGTTAAACTAAGGTCAATATCCAAATAATGTTGCTCTAAGGTCAATATCCAAATAATGTTAAACTAAGGTCAATAGCCAAATAATATTGCTCTAAGGTCAATATCCAAATAAGGTTGCTCTAAGGTCAATATCCAAATAATGTTGCACTAAGGTCAATATCCAAATAATGTTGCTCTAAGGTCAATATCCAAATAATGTTGCACTACGGTCAATAACCAAATAAGGTTGCTCTAAGGTCAATATCCAAATAATGTTAAACTAAGGTCAATATCTAAATAATGTTAAACTAAGGTCAATATCCAAATAATGTTGCTCTAAGGTCAATATCCAAATAATGTTAAACTAAAGGTCAATAGCCAAATAATATTGCTCCTAAAAATATCCAAATAATGTTGCTCTAAGGTCAATATCAAATAATGTTAAACTAAGGTCAATATCCAAATAATGTTGCACGAAGGTCAATATCAAATAATTTGCACTAAGGTCAATATCCAAATAATGTTAAACTAAAAGGTCAATATCCAAATAAGGTTGCTCTAAGGTCAATATCTAAACTAAGGTCAATATCCAAATAATGTTGCACGAAGGTCAATACAAATAATGTTGCACTAAGGTCAATATCCAAATAATGTTAAACTAAGGTCAATATCCAAATAATGTTGCACGAAGGTCAATATCCAAATAATGTTGCACTAAGGTCAATATCCAAATAATGTTAAACTAAGGTCAATATCCAAATAATGTTATGAAGGTCAATATCCAAATAATGACACTAAGGTCAATATCCAAATAATGTTAAATAAGGTCAATATCCAAATAATTTTGCTCTAAGGTCAATATCCAAATAATGTTAAACTAAGGTCAATATCCAAATAATGTTGCACGAAGGTCAATATCCAAATAATGTTGCACTAAGGTCAATATCCAAATAATGTTAACCAAAGGTAATATCCAAATAATGTTGCACGAAGGTCAATATCCAAATAATGTTGCACTAAGGTCAATATCCTGTTAAACTAAGGTCAATATCCAAATAATGTTGCTCTAAGGTCAATATCCAAATAATGTTAAACTAAGGTCATTAGCCAAATAATATTGCTCTAAGGTCAATATCCAAATAATGTTCTCTAAGGTCAATATCCAAATAATGTTAAACTAAGGTCAATATCCAAATAATGTTGCACGAAGGTCAATATCAAATAATGTTGCACTAAGGTCAATATCCAAATAATGCAAGGTCAATATCCAAATAATGTTGCTCTAAGGTCAATATCCAAATAAGGTTGCTCTAAGGTCAATATCAAATAATGTTAAACTAAGGTCAATATCCAAATAATGTTGCACGAAGGTCAATATCCAAATAATGTTGCACTAAGGTCAATATCCAAATAATGTTAAACTAAGGTCAATATTAAACGAAGGTCAATATCCAAATAATGTTGCACTAAGGTCAATATCCAAATAATGTTAAACTAAGGTCAATATCCAAATAATGTTGCACGAAGGTCAATATCCAAATAATGTTGCACTAAGGTCAATATCCAAATAATGTTAAACTAAGGTCAATATCCAAATAATGTTGCTCTAAGGTCAATATCCAAATAATGTTAAACTAAGGTCAATAGCCAAATAATATTGCTCTAAGGTCAATATCCAAATAATGTTGCTCTAAGGTTAATATCCAAATAATGTTAAACTAAGGTCAATATCCAAATAAACGAAGGTCAATATCAAATAATGTTGCACTAAGGTCAATATCCAAATAATGTTAAACTAAGGTCAATATCCAAATAATGTTGCTCTAAGGTCAATATCCAAATAAATCTAAGGTCAATATCCAAATAATGTTGCACTAAGGTCAATATCCAAATAATGTTGCTCTAAGGTCAATATCAAAAACGGTCAATAACCAAATAAGGTTGCTCTAAGGTCAATATCCAAATAATGTTAAACTAAGGTCAATATCTAAATAATGTTAAACTAAGGTCAATATCCAAATAATGTTGCTCTAAGGTCAATATCCAAATAATGTACTTTCTTTTTTTTATTTGAAAAATTGCAGTGAAAATGAACAGCAAGTATTTTTAAATCTTTTCATTTGAAGCAAGGCAATAAAGTCTCTATGACACAAGATATTACTGAATGTGAGAGAATATAAAAGAAAATAATGCTATTACGGAGAGAGAACAATAAAATTATAGGAATTAAAAAGACAGAAGATAACGACTGATATCGCATTTAAATTTTTGAAAATCAAAGTTGGCTGGAAAGTATGGAGCCAGAAGAGAATTCCACAAATGGAAAATGAGGAGACCTAGCTGCCAATCTAGTACTGCATTTAAATTCATAAAATCTGGGTACCAGAAAGGAAAGTGATATTTATATTGCAAACTAGCAGCATGGCCTGGCATGTCCCGTGCTTGATTAAAAAATCATACAACTCATACAGCAATTGCTATCACTTGACTTAAAATATTTTTGCCCTTCCTTGCCTTTAAAGGAGTGCCCTTTGGCGTGCTGATATTGCTACATGCCTTACTTCTTGCCTATCTCACACTGCAAATTTTTTCGAAGCTCTATACTAAACATTAAATCTGTTACGAAAAAAACTAAACAAAATGAACACAAAACAATCAGCTTTAAAAAAGGACTCGTAACTGGAAAAACCGAATGAAAAAAGAATGTTAACAACAAATACTTTTTCACACCCAACCCAGTTCTGCGGAATCAGAATCAACGTTGATCCAACGATGAGCCAATTGGAGTAAAGTGCCATGCAGATTTAAATTTTTCCCACTTGTGAGGAATGCAGCTATCAATTTTTCTTTGCATGCTAGTTAACATTCGTGTCAGTCAGCTGTTGGCTCTCACGCTGGCCAATAGAATCTTCCTGCCTATTCATGGCAGCTAGCTATTGGCTCTCACTCTGACCAGTAGAAAATGGCTGCAAACTACATGAAAACTGCCGTAGAAGGATGAAAAATCAATTATCCTTCCCGCCAAACTTGGAGCATGTGCATGTAAATTTTGGTGCAAATCCGTCGAAAATTGCGGCCGTGCATTTGTTACACACACACACACACACACACACACACACACACACACACCCTGCCTTTTATAGATAGAGATACGAAAATGTGGCACAAGGCCCAAAGTGGGTGGATAGGGGAAAGCTGGTCTTCCATTTGTTTTATGTCAAAGCTAGCCATGATTACTGATTCATATATACGACAGTATGCCTTACACCAAAACAACACATTTTTACTTACCATTCTTGCTACAGTCACCATAATACCTCAAAGTCTCTATGTAGTTTTAACTAGTTACCATATGTACAATTTGTCTGTTGTGGGGTGAGGTGAATAAAAATAACATTTAAAAATGTTACGAATCTTTACAATGAATGCAATTTATATACAAAAAAATAAACAAAATAGTGTTAGTAATAAAAAAAACTCACAATCTTTAACTGTGGCAGAAAAATCAAACTGGATGAAATTACTGTATGAATAAGTAATAAGAACATTCAACCAAACACTCACCCAAACACACACTTTATTCAAACAGAAAAACAAATATAAAAAGCATGCTTGAAGAATGAGAAGCACCCCACATCTACCAGAAAACTGACATCTCTGTCACATAACGAGAAAGAGGAGGGGGAATTAAACTAAATTAATTGAGGAAAGTTCATCAGAAGAGTTACCATGAAAGAAGTTATAGAAAAGGCACAGAGAAGCTATGTTAGAGTGGTGGGGAAGTGAATGAAGACGAGATGCCAGGTCAGGACTAAAAAAAAATGAAGCATTATTACGGGACAATAAAAGAGCAGGAATTAAGAAGACAGACTATAATGACTGACATTGCCTCTTAGTAAATCAATTGATAAAGATCAATAAAAATCAACAACAGTTGCATAAGGCCAGCAACTCTGACAGATGCCAATCTTTTGCATGCAATGTGAAAAAAACATGGTTCCCCTGTAGAAGCCTCACTAGCCACTTGACAGCCTGCGGCAGAAAGGAAAAAATACTTCTAAATTTTCATCCATAAAGCCAATCAATGTTAATAATCATACTTATTATAAAACCCAGGTTGTGTGTGTGTGTGTGTGTGTACGTTTATATATTGGATCGGATTTCCTACATTTTTCAACCGATTTCAAACAAAACTCCACAGGACTGTGTAAAATTACCTTGCGGTGGTTCTGACAGCACCAAAAATTGGAAAAACACAATTGTTTTTGCACGAAATCAATTTGAAAACATGATTAAGAGGCATCGCTTTCGCGGAAAGAAAGGGGGACAACTCATATTGAGTTATACTTATTATAAAAACCCAGGTTGTGTGTGTGTGTGTGTGTGTGTGTGTGTGTTTGTGTGTGTGTGTGTGTGTGTGTTCGTTTATATATGGGATCTGATTTCCTACATTTTTCAACCGATTTTAACAAAACTTCACTTTTTTTTTGGCAGGTAATGTTTCTAATTGTCTTGCACACTTTTTTCTTTATTTTTACATTCAGAATGCTTTAAAAATTCCATTTACAAGACAATTGTTTATAATAAAATTCTATTCAATCGATAGACTCATAACGATTGAAAACAATGTTTTTGTTTGAGTTTGGGTTTGACCAATTCGTAAAAAAAAAAAAAACTAATTAAGACATGCGTGTCCGTCAACCTTAAACAATAATCTTTGTCAATTTTAGAAGAAATAGATTCATACCTTTCCTGAGGATATTTGTGCATAAGTGACTGCAAGAAATCTGATTGGAATTGGAACTTGGCTACTTGGATTAACAATTCTGAGCCATTATCCATTACCCCACCCAAACATCTAAGCTTACAGCACCTGATATTCCCAAATAGTTACCCATCTAGGTACTACCCAGGCTTGATATTGCTTAACTTCAGTGATTGTATAAGAACCAGTGTTTCAATGTTTAATGTGGCCATAAGTCCTATTTCATTGGTAAATAGTTCACTAAGTTCAGCCAGTAAGAAGATAATTCTTCCCATAAAGTATAGGGACAGGGAGAAAATGTTTGTTTTATTAATGATAAGATTTTTTGAAAATCCAAACTGATTCAAATGTTCCTTTTCGTATGAAGGTTCACAAATTTTTTTTAACTGTAAACACCGATTTTATTTTATTTTATTTTATCTTTTTTGCAAAGGAAGTAATTTCATTTAGAATGCTTCTAGTAGATTCTTTTCTGATTAAGTCAGTTTTATAGTCATTCACTTTTCTGTTCCCAAATCAACCGAAAATCTTAAAAAAAAAGTTACATGAACAGGACTTCAAACTCCCACTTATCAAAGATTTTAGAAGCTATTGCATTTTCCGGTAGAAGCCAGATCAAGTTTGCTTAAACTGAAATTAACTTTGCCAATACAGTTTTTCATGATTGTCTTGAAGTCTCTAAAATGTAGAGAATGATGCTTCAAAAGCTGGTGTCACTGTCTCAAAATTTGTGACCTTGAGGAAGACAAAGGAACCTGAGAAAATATAAATTTTAAACCCTAACATAAAATATGGGGCCAAGATCTGAAAACCTGATTATTACTTATTTATATTATTTGCATAGGGACAAGTGTCCTCATCATTGTTGTTGTTATCGGAATATTTTAGCTGTTATACCCACTGAAACATTGTGACAACAACAACGAAGATGAGGACAATAGTCTGCATGTAAATAATGATAATTCCACATCCCAGAATTTAAATGTTATAGCTATTTTAAATGAGGTGGGATGGGGTGAAAACCCCAACATCCTAATGCTGTGATAATTTGTGAAAAATCTTCTGCTGTAATTTAAATAAATTTACATTATTCACATTCCACTCTCTAAGTTTGCACTAGATGGCCTCAGGGATTGAACTAACAGTTAAAATAGTCCAAGTGTAAATAATGATAACTCCTCATCCCAGAAATTCCAACAAAAACCTGGTAAGTTATTACTAAACTGCTTTTTGGGTCTCTTATAAATTAGATCAGTACAATTAATACTTGAATTTGTACCCCCATCTCCTAGTTCAGAGGTCGGCAACTCCTTCGACCCCGCTGGCCGGATCATGCTATAATGACGGGTCGCGGGCCGGACGAAGGCCATTAATGAAAAATTAAGGAAAATTACATATGCAGACCTCCTGTCAACCTAAATATTTAAAACCATAATAAAAATAAACATTGAGAAATCAGAAAAAATAAAGAAAATCTAAAATTAAAAAAACACCCAACAAAAATTACTTTTCCTCAAGGAACGTCAAAAAAAGTGAAAAAAATCAACCGAAGTGAAATGGATGAAATTATGACGTGTAGGTTTGAAACTGTTATTGAAAATTGTTCCACAAACGAATCACACACACACACACATCAAACAAAAAACGAAGCACATATACCCATACATACGAGTACAAATAGTTGCAAACATATACACTTACGTACGTACACATGCGGTATCATCCCACATTCATGAGGCATGTATGTATAATGCGCGTATGTTTAACTGTCTTTAGATTTCTGCTACCTCGCATGTCAGTCCCTCCTGGCCTCTTTCACTTTATCATTCCTTTTCGCTTCTGTTATCTTTTAATGTAGCCAAGGGTCATAACAAATATGTATCCATTATTTGACATTAAACGTAGGCAACGCAACTTTAGTAAAATAATTCTCATGAAAGATAACTGGCAGATAGTCTAATATTTTTAGTGCACTGAGATGTGTAGACATTCTATGGAAAATGACATATAACAAATTTCATTTGAAGGTCGTCTCTCATATTAAAAATAGTCATTGGTAATCAGGCTCGCGGGCCGGTCAAAATGCCTTCGCGGGCCGGATCTAGCCCGCGGGCTGTAGGTTGCCGGCCCATCTCCTAGTTGCTATTACTTTATTCTTTGATACTTGAGCTACATATGAAGTGCTTATACATAACCCACTAAAACTGTTTCTTGCAATCTGCCTTACTTTATTAATTATTGCATAATTCCTTTTTTATTACAATTTATTTTATACTAGCTGTATAACCCGTCTTTGACCGGGTCTTTTATTACTGAGAATATTTACTGTTCAATTGGAGCAATTTAAGTTTAAAGTCACCCCACCTGAAAATCAATATTAGTAACAACAATTCGGTGCAACTGAGGCACATCCCCAAATGCGGGGTTAACAATTTGAATGGGGGGGGGGGCTGAAAAGGGCCGTTTTTCTGTCCTCAATCTTGTTTCAGCCTCACGCGTAGCAGCAACTGAAGTGGCATTTCTCCTCAGCCGTTGAGTCCTTTGATCATCATTTTCAGCCTCGTGCGCAGAAGCATTCGGATGAAAACTGTGGAAACACGTAAACAACATCCAATCACACGCACGCACATACATACACACACATTTTGAGAATTATAGATATAGATTATATTATTGTAATAATTTAAAGTATTTATTTTTATTAAAGTTTTTATGAAAGATATATATCCAAGAACAGATAGTAAATAGTAAAACATTGCTGAGAGTTATAACGGACAGGAAGTAGTGGAGAGCCATTGTCTCCAACAATTTGGGCTCAAAACCAGCACTGAAGACTTATCTATCAAACAAAAAAATTTAATCAAAATTAGATGATAAAACGCATCAACAACATCGGATCAGACACCCACCCACACACCCAGTCACCCACCCACACACACACACATTTTGAGAATTATAGATCCAAGAATTGTGCTAGTCTCATATTTACCATATTTGTTTCATTCTTTTTATGCACAAAAATGTTTCAAAATATCCCACAGATCTTATAAACAAAGTCAAGATATCTGTTAGGCTTATTTATACAATTTACATTTGGACTATAGTCGTTATGTAAACTATAATGGTAGATTTTGGTCGTTATGTAAACTATAATGGTAGATTTTGGTCGTTATGTAAACTATAATGGTAGATTTTGGTCGTTATGTAAACTATAATGGTAGATTTTTCACGCTCCGCTGTTCCTGTTTAAAGAATATCTTGTTCTTATCTAGTACTGCCAATTTATTGTTTGTCCTGTTTCCATAATCTAAGTCTGCACTATCTGGTGCAAGGATTAAACTAACAATTACAATAGTCCCAGTGTAAATAATATAAATAAAGATCTCCTCATCCCAGGGCTGGAGCTAGGATTTTGGTGCCCCTGGCCCTGAAAATTTGATACAAGGTCTCTCTCTCTCTCTATTACATGTTGATTTGAAAGTTTCCCAAATTGGGTTCCACAAACCCTCGAAGAATAATTGTGCAAAGAAATGCAGCACTTTTTTTAAAAATCAAGGAATTATCCAATTTAAATGAAAATTTCAGTACATATTCATTATTTACTTTTATAATGAATAGGTTCTTTTTATTTAAAAAAAAATCCGAGAAAATGTTATTCTTTTTGTAATAACTCTTGCTCTTGAGTATTTGCCTGCAAATCAGCCGAGATATATCTTATTTTATTTTATAACAGTGATCATTTTCTCGGTTTTATCTTTCTAGAAATGTAAAAAATAGGGACTAGAAATTTTATTTTAATTACTAGCCATGGACTTCTGGTTAGTATGACTATTAGCAAAAAAAAAATAAATAAATAAATCAGAGATCCTTCTTTGTGGATGATCTTGGAATAAAAAATGATTTTATTGAGATATGTTAATGTTAGCCTCTTTAAATGAACCGTTCAGAAAGAAAATTACAATTTTAAAAAATAAGTACGACTAAAATTAGCACTTCTGCTCCCATTCCCCAGTAGGCATGACGCCTCTATGTGGTTGAGAAGTAATGCGGTAGTAAGCACCAGCCCTGTCTATTATTATAGCTGATGACTGACAATATAATTTAGGTAAAAAAAAAAGTAAGAAGTACAAAACCAAAAAAAAAAATTAGTTGCTGAAACTAGTACTTTTGAAGCTCCAACTTCGTTGGGGGTTCCTGCATAGTATGTACTGCACTGGCCATATAGATACACAATGTATATTATTAGCTGATGACTGACAATATAATGTCAGTTTAAAAATAATTAAAAAAATGGTGGATGGCGATAAGACACTGTTGATCTCGGCTGATTTGCAGGCAAATAAACTAACATACTTAAGAGCGAGAGCCGGATGTGAACGGGACAAGGCCTCGTCACAAAATGACCATTATCGTCGTTTACGCATAGGTTCCCGACGCACGAGTTCCGGTCGAAAAATAAAATAATATTTTAAAGTGTTTCTATTTTTCGACCAATAAAATGCTTCCCTCTAATTATACTCGCGTCGTTTTTCGAACCTGTTAAGCCATAAAAAAAACCGCCATAAAAGGGGTCACACGGAAGTACACCGAGCAGTCAACAGGAGGCCAGGGAAGAGACCTGTCACGGTCAGGCTGAGCGGTCAGCAACCAGCAGCCAGCCACGCCAACCAGATCGCCATGAGAACCAGCGAGAACTACGGGAGAGATCTTATGAACTATACCACAAGGTAGCTGTCCCAAAACCACACGTTCCTATTGAAATAAATCACGTAAATCTATTTCTGCTGTTGTCGTATTTCTTTCTTGCAACCATACGCTTGTCTATAACACTGGTGTCAGAAGCGTACAGCAAGAGAAATATGGACGACTACACGAGCTTCACCCGAGCCGAACTATTTACTCTCATCAAGGAACAGAAAACACTACTATTCAACTTGAAATCGGGACCAACACAGCCTTCCGAAGCCACGATACAAGAAATTCAAGCCGACATAAACGACATGCTGACTGCCCTAAAATCAACTACTTTAACACCTCCCACCGCTCAAACAAACGGCGATTACAGCTTAATGATGCGCCAACAAACTATACGCGACATATTGAAGCTAGAGAGAACTTTTCACCCTGGACACGACGTGAACCGATTCATCACGGCTCTAAACAAAGCATACACGTCACGCCAGAAGTCAGTACCTATCCCAGCCTGGAA